TAAATAAATAAATCCAAGTAATTGTTTTGAGACAACTCTACTGCCTGTATTTCAATTACAGGAAAAACAGAATGATCTCCTTGTTGCGCGTACATGCAACTAATAATTCCTGATGTTTTTCTCCTCCCACTTCCTTCTCTGCCTTAACACTAAATTAGTCACAATATAACAATAACAATAATTATGTTGTTCCGGGATTCCAGTCCATTCTCATCAACATGGGGGTAAACCATATTGCATTCCCCACCCTACTTACATACTATCCTCAGCAGCAGAGCTCAGATACATTTCAATGAAATCTTACATTGTTATTATTCTTGTTCAAAAACTTTTTTAACCCCATATGTTTATATATATATATATATATATATATATTTCAGCAATGATTCAGAATGTAGAGAAGTCTTTGTGCAATGTGTTGGTATTGATCATTATGTTGTATGTTTTTCCCAATTTTGTATAATTTTAATTAAACTAGTTTATTTATGCATTGTTGCAATATTTCAGGGTAGACCTTCGATCCATTACGCAGATTAAAAAAAAGCAAGCCCATGAGTTCAGATGATAGTGTATTTTTTTTTCCTATGAGCCAACAAATGGCTCATAAATTTTTAATAAAAGAGTATTGCATCAACCCTCAAATAATACAAAGCGTACATTGCATTGGACAGTGCTAGTGTAGTGAGTGGTATAACATCCTTCTTAGCATCTTAAGTAAATGCTCTTCTGATGATAGTGAGACTGAATTGAAGACTCTGAGGTTTTTTATTGGATAGATCTTTCCCCACTTACTTCTAACTTGCTTTTAAACAGAAAAGCATAATGCCTTTCCTCATGGTGGCTGTGACCTGTCCTGGCTGCAGGGAAGGCCATATGCTCCGTCCTCTACATTTACACAGGCATTTCACTAGATCTGTGAATAGTGCTTGATTTGTGCATGACTAGAAGGCAGAATGACTGCTCTAAGGATTGAATTTAATGTAGATCTAACTCCTTCTATAAGAGCTCTTATTTGCTAACCAGGAGAAAGAGCAGCTTCTACTGCTGGAACGATTCATTAATCCATTCCTAGCTGTCCTCTTTCCCTGGAGACAGATATGCCAAATAAATAGTATTGGCTGGGACAGCAGCCTGCTTCTGGGTGCCAGAGACAAGATTTTCCCCAGTCCAATAAGCATTGTTTTTGGCATGATGGTGAAAGGCAACATGCCCAGCAGCAAAAAACCGGCAGCCTTTCTCTCCTATCAATTTTTGTTCAATTGCTCCTCTCTCTGTTTACAGTTCTTCTTTTCAGCCCTTTGTCCTGTCTCCAATAAAACAGTACTTTGCCCACCATTTCCCTTTGGGAGAGATTCAGTGAACAAAATGAGACGCAAGCCAAACATAAGGAAAAACGTATTTAAAAGCACGAACGGAAACAGGATCAAGGATATTGTTAAACATAGCAATAGGACTGTCCTATAATTTAGATGCCACCTGGCTAGTTTCTAACCAGCCTGGCTGATCTGACATGTGTCCCGGATCTGTCAGAGCTATTAGCCATGCACACATTGAGTTTGTATGTGTTATAGCCCTGTGCCAGGGTAGCTGCTCATGTTTTCTTTATTGTTTGTTTGGTTTTTTTTTCCTTTTTTCCTCCCTCAAAGAATAGCCAGCCTGCTACTGTTGCACAGCCCTTTATCTGACTTGCAACAATGCAATCCAGGGCACTCGCTGGGATACTGGGATTCAGGAAAGCCCTGCCGGAGACTGATGACAGATGGATGTTGGATCAGTAAAATACTGAAACTCTTAACTGCAGGGACACAAGTCTAGATCCTCCTAATAACACAACCCACCTTCTTCAGAGTCTGGTTCAGAAAGAGCAGAGCAAACCCTCTGCTGCGTTCTGTAGTGGGCAGGGACACAGGATCTAAACTGTGATTACGTGAAGGCTTGGTATTCTCAGATTTGCCAAGGTTACCTTCTGATTTCCTGCGTCATGCAAGATCTTCCCTCAAGTAAAGCCGTCTGCCCTTGTCTGTTACTTTTAAGAGGACAAAACTGGAGCCTCAATACAATTAAAATGAATGGTATTTCTGTTGCCTTGCAGTTGAAGGGGCCGCATCCAATAGCCCCATCCCGCCGTGTCCTCCAGGGAGCCCGAACCAAGCCCAGGTTGCGGTGCCCGCTCAGGAGAGACGGTGGGATCATTCACGGCACGGGATTCAGGATTGTGTGGCACGGGGAGAAAACTCAAAGCCTCTGCTGCAGTTTAAAGGCTGAACGTGGAAGTCGATTCCGATGTCTCTGGCGATGCTGCTCCGCGCAGATAAAGGAGCCTTGTCCTTAACATGCGAGGGTTTCCAGACCGGCTCCGCTCTGCGGGAACCGCGGCTCCGACTGGGAGCGGCTCCGTTCGGGGCCCCAGCCCTGCCCTTGGGCCCGCCCCCGCCTCCTGCCCCGCCCCCGGCCCGCGCCTCGGCCCCGCCCCTGTGCCCCGCCCCTGTGCTCCGGCCCCGCCCCGTGCCCCGTTCCCGTCCCCGCCCCTATGCCCGTCCCTCGGCCCCGTACCGTGCCCCGTTCCCACCCCGTGTCCCGTTTCCGCCCCTGTGTCGCATTCCCGGTGCTATGTCCCGTTCCCGCCCCTGTGCGCGCTCCCGGCACCGCCCCTGCCTCGCCCCCCGCGGGTCCTGCCGCGCCCCCGCAGCTCTCGCGAGAGTCGGGCGGGCGGGGCGCGGCCGTATCTGGGTGGTGTCGCGGCCGCCATTGTACTGCGGGTCCGACGCGGCGCGCGCGGAGCCGCCGCGGCTCCGAGCCCGCCCCGGCAGGTGAGTACGGACCGTCCGCGGCGCCCGCTGCGGCCCGGCCCGGCCCGGCCTGTCCCACGCCTGCTGCGGGGCCTGGCACGGCCCGGCGGCCACGCGCCGAGGCCAGGGGAACCATTTTGTGCCGTGCGGGGCCCGGCCTCGCCGCCCTTCCATCCGCTCTCACCCCCACGACCGCTTGGCTCCGCGGCCGCTTTCGGAGCGAGGCCGTGTGGAACACACCCGGTGCCCCCCGAGCAGCCCCTGCCGTGCGGGCCGGGCCGCTCCCCGCGCGTGGCGGGGACGGTGCGGGGCCTGGCGGCTCTACGGGAGCAGCCCCGCGCCACAGAACCGGCCGCTGCGGCCCGGGAGCCGCCGGCATTCGTAAGTATTCTTGCTGCTCGCGGGACTCCTGAGGGGCTGCTGAGTTATTTGTCAGCCTTTCTGCATCGAAGGTTGAGAAAATACTTCGAATGAAGAATTGCACAGCCTCAAAGACACGCGAACTCCATCTTGTTTGTCATAAAAACGTGATTGTGAGTAAACACTGAGGAAGACACGTGAGCACAAGTAGCTTGGGAGAAGGTCTTATGAATAGTTTTATGTTAAACCACACAAAAACATGTAGATGTGACAGTTTGAGTCTTAGGTAGAAGTGTCACTTCATAGTTCCAAGCTAGAAGACTTGGATTTAGGAGCTGGTAGTGAAACTCATGCTTTCCTCTGATAGAGAGTACAGGAATGCTTAAAAGCTTAAAGCTAGAAAAGTTAGTAGAAATCGTGGAAGCTGGTAAATACTTTCCTTACTGCTAGACAAGACTGCCTAAAACCGCTCCTCATATATCAGTAGAGAAGGTCAAAGTAGAAGAGAAATATTTGCTGTCTGTTGTTTTTATCTTTTGAAATTGCGTTGCTTTCCCGCAAAGAGTTCTTGAATCTTTTCTGTCTTTGTTATCTCTATCCATGGCTATGTTAGGTCTAGTTGATGTTTTATAATGTCGTTAAAGGGATGACATCAAGAAGGGCAGGACATTTGAGCTGTGCACTCAAAATAGGCTGTTCAGCTCCACCTCCTGTTACAAGTTGGTCATCTGTTTCACAGGTATGACTTTAAAGTTTTATTTCAGAACTTGGTTTCTGACTGAGTCTTGAGAGACATCACATGTTATTCTAGGAGCCACTAGAGTTTCCAGATTTTTTTATGAGGTTTTGATTGCTAAGTAGTGTAAGATAGCATAAGCTGATGAAATATGTTGCTTTGGTGAGAAGAGTACTTCTCATCCTGCTATATCCTTTCTCATTTCTCTGTTGTTGGGTACCAGAGTGAGTACAGTCAAAATAATAGAGAAGCCAGAGGTGTGTTTTACCAGGATAGTGTGTTGAGGTTTCTCAATGAAGGACACGACAGGTGTGATATTTGAGTAAGATGTTCCTTTTCTGTTTGGCAGCGGCAGGCTTTTTCATCAGACTGCAGCACAATTTCTATTCTTATATTATTAGTATTTCCTCAGAGAAGTAGATTAAGTTTTTTGGTCTCACTACCTTCTGTGTAAATGGAGGTGAGTACATTGTCATTATAGAACTCATTACAGCATGTTAATTACCACTTGGGGTTTGTTGAATTCCTGCGTGTGTAAACAAAATGCTTGAGGTTTTAGTTTGAGTGCCTTTGTGCTCATTCAGGAAAATCCTTAAGACGCTGATCCTGTAAAAGGGAACCATTCTCATTCTGAAATACTGTATACAAGCACAATATTCCCCTTGCAGACAAGTACTAGTGTGGCTTTAATAATGTGATTGATTTTTATTGTGAGACCATTGTCTGGTTCTGTCCTGTGTTCTCTGATAGCTTAGCATGTTCACCTTATTTGTGACCAACCCCATTGCGTTACCATGATGAGCATAAGCCTTGTATGTGTTTTGGGTGTATTCAGCCGAACTGTGAAGAGGGTTGCTTCTCAGGCTTTCAAGGTACAGTGCTTAAAATGCTTTTCAGAGAACTCTGAACACCCCCTGCCAAGAGACCCCTTACTGGTGTTGCTCACCAGAGTTGAGATGCCTAGATCTAGTTTTATCTGGCTAGTAAATTCGTGTCATGGCTCCATTGACTTCAGTTGCAGCTCTGTCCAGCTGGGTAAGACAGGAAAGGCTGAAAGAGTTGGGGCTGTTCAGCCTGGAGAAGAGAAGGGTCTGGGGAAACCTTATTGCAGCCTTTCAGTACTTAAATGGGGCCTGTAAGAAAGATGGGGACAGACACTTAGTAGAGCCTGTTGTGATAGGACAAGAAGTAATGGTTTAAACTAAATTTGAGGAAGACATTTTTTACGATGAGGGTGGTGAAACACTGGCACAGGTTGCCCAGAGAGGTAGTGGATGCTCTGTCTCTGGATATATTCAAGGTCAGGTTGGACAGGGCTTTGAGCAACCTGGTCTGGTTGAAGATGTCCCTGCTTATTGCAGGGGGGTTGAACTAGATGGCCTTTAAAGATCCCTTCCAACCGAAACTATTCTATGATTTCTGCTGATTGGATTGCAAGCGAATTTTATGATGGATGGCCAGAAATTGAAGAGCTCTTCGGGCGTGATTTTTAAAAAAATTAAACCTTAATTAATCTGAATGACATGCTCCATATCACTGAATCTTTGTTGAAAGGCAAAGGTAAAATCCAATTTCCTTGAACAGAAGTTCTTTGCCTAGACCATAAGGCCTTTTATTCAGCATCTTTTCACTTCTGCATCAAACAAGGCAGGATTTCTCTTGCCTTTTCTTGCACTACTCCAATTGATCTTTATAGCAGATCCTTCTCATTTGCTGGCTGAGGTCAGTACTGCAGAAAAAATGTACAGTTGTATTCAAGAGATTACCCATAATGTGTATGCATAAACTGAAATTAAAATCTTGCATTTTCTAGTGTACTGCCTTAATCTTATTTTAACGCTTTTTTTGTGTATGTAGTTTCTGCAAGATTTCTTTATTTGAAGAAAAATAATATTATATAGATAATATTATCCTGACTTACTAGGGTTAAAATCACAGCCTGTGCTAATTTACAAGATCAGGCTGATGGATAACATTGTCCTCTAGGGGTTACCTTAGAAAGGAGAAAATTAGTCTTGTGCCTGTGTGTGTCTGAAGAAGTAATTTGCTAATTTTGGACTCCATTTCAGCTTCTGGAGGTAGTTGGTTCTGGTGTCCACTCTTCCACCCTATCCTTTTCAGTCTGAATGCCTGTGTTTTGTTTGTTCTGTGGGTGGCAATTTTATCAGTATTAGATGATCTCTAATTTAGTTTTGAAGCTGTTCTTACACTTCTTTATCCTCCCCTGGTTCATCTAGACATTATTTTCTACCAGTAAGAGCTTCCATCCCTTCTTCTTGAACCTTTGTGTTTTCTATATGTGTCTGTGTCTGACTTTTATCTATATTATTTAATTTGTCTGGTTCCACACCTATCTGAAACAAAGTGATTCAAAGTGATTCAGAAGTAAATTGATCCATAATAAAGGGGATAATGCTGGCGCTCTGTCAAGTACTTAATAGTACAGAATTGGATCTACTATTCTGTGTGTCTGTTCCTTATATTTTATATCAGGGTAAAACACAGACAAACAGTGCTTTGAGTGTCAGATGTCATCAAGACGTACAGCTGTCCTGTCCAGCATGCACCCTCATCTGTATTACTGTGACATTATTTTAATTTCACAGTTTGCAAATTTGATAGTTACTTTTTCAAACTCAGTGCAGCTTCATCCAAGTACTGGACTTGCAGTGCACATTATGGCAGATTACTCTGAAGCTTAAATTACGTTACAGTTTAGGATTGCTACATTTTACTGCACTGAGGATCCACCTGAAATGATATAGCTTAGATTATTAGATTTTCCTTAATTTCTTTTAAACTTCCATGATTAACAGTTTCTTCTGAACTTTGAAACACTGCTTAGAACATTCTTATTGATAGAGCTGTGTTTACAACTTGAGAATTGCATAAATTGTTTAATATTTACCTTGGGATTTAAATGTGATCTGGGAAATTTAATTAATTAATTATTTCAGGTTACTAATGCAAAGTTAGACAAGCGAGAATTTCAGATTCCTGACCAGATCTTTTTTAACTGATGATGTCTCTGGCGAATACTAAGGGGTTGCTAATGTCAGAAGCATGGTCTAGAAGCCGATGTGCTTCTCATTAATACAACCCAGTACACAAAAATAAACAGTTCCTTGATGTGCTTTATAATTTAAAAGTCCTACTTGCAGGATTAAGCATTTAGGCTACTTTGTGTTTTGAGGACTGTTGTAAAGCTGGCAACTAAACATGCACGAGAACAGTAGTTAAAAAAGTCCTCTTACGGAAATAAACCTCAGCTGTCCCAGCTATTTGGTCAATGGAGTTCTGTACAAACTGGCTTTTGCCAGGTAGAATATGTAATGCAGCATGACTTTAGCAAAGATTAGAAGTCCTGAGTATGTGAACTCAACTTGAAACTGCAGCCAGACATGAGGTACATCGGGATTGATGCAGCTGCTTTTTGCAGACAGTGGCTGAACTGTGGAAAAAAGTGTACTTTGCTGATGGATAGGGTTTTTTCAAAAATTAGTAAAGCTTACTCCTATTCTTAGAAGGTTAAGCCAGAATTTTACCACTTCTGCAACTCACCTTATACCAATGGAATTCTTGGTCATCTGTTTGAGTTGATAGTTATCGTGCTGCTCTTCACTGTGTACTCAGTTCACATGCTATGCAGTACTGTGCCACTGAGGATACTGCAGTTCTCTTAAATTTTTTATTTAAGAGCTACCTTTTGTGATCTGATTCTTGTCTGTACCATCCTGAAGAGGAAAAATCTGTGCATATAAGCAGGCCAGTTAGGTAGCTCTCTGGAGTTTTAGAGAAACACTAACTCAAGATACTATTTCAAGGACAAGGTTGACTATGGGGTCACTTCGCAGGGGAAAAAGGCACCAACATTTCTTTTGAAATGCCTAGAAATATCAAAAGAGCAAATAAATACTCAGCGAGTCAGAGTTAAATTTATATATGCACCTGTGAGATAGCATGTGCTCCTTTGCATATGTTAACTTGCGTGGGAGTTATCCTTGGAGAAGTTAAAGGCAGGGAGACTGCAGACATGGTTTTTCTCGGGGAGGTGAAGTTTCATGACTTTGACCCTGAAAAATAAGTCTGAATATAATTTCTGCAATTACAAAAATGTAATGCATAAATTTAAGAAATCTGAAGTACTTTCTTCCTGACTCATTTTGTGTTAATATGAATGCTGTGGAGTTCTTAAGGGAGTATATTTATATATTTTATCTATGTGTATTAGGGATATATATGTAATATTTATAATAGTAAGAGTATATTGTAATAAAATAAGTATAGCAAAAGGGGCTGTATTTCTAGTTTTCTAACATGGAACGGGAGGAGATGTAAAGAAGAGGTTACAAAAGCTAGGGTGAGAGCTCGTTTCCCCGTTTTACTGATGCACAGTCAGACCAAAGCGCTGTGTATTTAATATTCGTATGTGTGAGTCATATTTATGTTACACTCAGAAAGACTGTGCCTGTTTTGCATGAGGTCCCTGCTTATAGGAGAAAAAATAATCAGTGTGTCCTTGTACAGGATACAAAGAATGGAGTCAAAACCCTCAAGAATTCCTCGCAGGATATCTGTTCAGGCTTCCAGCTCTTCCCTAGGATCTAGGACATTGACTGGAAACAGTTTAGCTGGTGCATATAGTGCAAGAGAATCTTCATGGAGATTAGAATCTGGATACCAGGTAATGTGGTTTTTTTCTTTTTGTAAAGTATACATTAATTTCAAGTGTTTTGTTTTGTTTGTTTGTTTTTTTTAACCAAGAAAAGCCCCCAAACTCAGACAATTCTAAAGTACAAGAATTTAATAACCAGGCCAATGACAGTAATCTGTGAACTGGTAGTTCTATAGATCTATTTTTACCTGCTCGTGTTTGTAGCTGCACCTTTAGAAATCAGCTGTTTGATGACTGAAGGGGCACCCTGATACTGTGGATCTGTTTTGGCCTGAGTCACTGCCATTGTAAACCTGGCTAAATGGAGTTTTCTGTTGAAGGGGAGGGTGAGGGTTTTGTTTGAACTTAGATGTGTATAGGACGTTACACTTGATGTGTTGATGATGCAGAAATTACAGGACTTTGTTTTGAGTTAATGAGGCTGTGCCTCTCTGCAGCACCTCCCGTGTTTGCGTTTTGTGAAGGTAAGAAGAGGAGCTTTAGGCTCCCCTCAGCCTAAACACTTAGCATGTCAGTGTGCTAGTGCAGCTGGGCTCTGTGTGCCATAGACAGGACTGAGGGAAAGGCCTTTGGTTGGTTCACATGCAGCATTTCACACTGACCAAACTGCTTTTTTGGGGGCAGGGAGCCATGCTCAAGAGGAAGTGCTCACACTGTGCAGGTACTTTCACTTTTGGAAGAGTATTATGGGAAGTAGAGATTAAACTACTTAAGAAATTACTTTGGGCACTTGGAAGCCACAGATAGCAGTTCAGCTCAATTACCTTAGTAGTTCGCTTCTGCTCCTGTCAGCAATTCTCACCTCAGTTTTGGGCCCAGAAGTGTAAGCCCGTTTTGATCTTTGAAATTGCAGAAACTTAACTCTGTGATTAAATGTTCATATTTTTTAAAAAAATCGTTACGAGTTTGGTCCCTGCTGACAAGCTATCTGGAACATTGTGTTACATAATGCCTTTTTCAGAAACAGTTTTACAAGTAATGGAACATTATTTTTAGCACAAGTACACATATGTGTGTTACGTTTTTGTTATCTCTGGCGCACACACACGTTCATTAGTATATAGGCCATAGGGAATGTGTAAGGGCAAGCAATCATCAGTTGGTTTTGGTTTTTGGATTCCCCCGTGTTTTTCACGGGCTGGCTGCTCCGCAAAACCAAATCAAACAGTCTTACTCTTTTGTAGGAATTTATGGACACCGTCCACATGCAGTGTACATATACTGAAAGCTGTTGATCAGAAGATGAGTCTTCAGCTGAACTGGTTCTGTGAAGTTTGATGTGTTACTACTGTTAAGAAATTTTAACACAATGTACCTTACATTATTTAGTTTATTACACAAACTGCGACGTGTTCGCTCCACTGCGTATTCTTTTGACTATTTCCTGTTGAGCAAAGTGCTTCTAATCTGAGGAATGATCTTTATAACATTTAGGGGAAAATATTTGTATAGAAGATTATGTTGTATCCCTTCTTTCCACTTTCAGTTCATAGAATGTAGTCTGAGACCTTGTTACACAAGACTAGTGCTTAGTGATAAAAGCATAGGGAAGCTCCCTCTCTTGACTAACCTTTGGTACTTAGAGAGCAGGTAGGAACAAATTATATTAGTGCTTGCAAGTTAAGATTACAGAGACTGGGGTGTGAAGAAACAAATAGTCTAAATAAGATTAAGTCCAGTCAGATAGTAATGGAAAGGACAGGTGTTTTCCATTTGTTAATCCATTCAGAAGCCTACCTTAAAATATTTAAGAGCTACTTCAGTTACCAATCATTTAAGATTTGTCGTTCATAAGAAAAAACGCGTAACTATCAGTAATACTTTGGGTATAAAGGTGAAAGGGAACTTGGGGATTTGGCTTTTAAATACAGAGTAATTTCTGTAGAGAGAATATTTGATTGTAGCTTAACTCAAACTTTTGGGACAGAGCAGTCAAAATTTGAGTATTTGCTTTTGACTAGGGCTAAAAAAAATAAGAAAGGTTTCTATTGTTCTCTTTACATTTTTTGTCGTATAGGTGTGAATTCTTGTATGTCATGCATTTCTGAGATCAGTCTGGGGGCTAGCCTCTGCTTCTCTGAGATGGCAGAACAAGGAGGTTTATTGTAAACTAATCAGATGTACGTGATACAGTTGTTTCTAGGTGACTTAAAATATAAAAATCAAATTAGTGTAATGGTATGAGAAAAAAAATTCCTATGCTTTATGTTACAACATAGTAAACATTTTGTGAGAAATGAAATGAATTTTAAGGTGTTTTTTTTTTATGGGAGGATAGTGTCAAATGTAGTGTATAAAATTGTTCTGAATGTTTTCCCCATCATATTTTTCTGCTACTTAGACCCCAGATCGACACCAAAATAGACTAGATTGGGTAGTGCTTTAATTGTTAAGTACTAACAAGGGATGTTGACTAGTCTTAAGATGAACTGAAGGAAGAAAGCAAACTGATTTTTTTGTTGTTGTTGTTCATTTGTTTTGGTTTTTTGTTGTTGTTGTTGTTTCAGATATAGCAATTGGTTTGAGGATTCCTGACATCATACCTGATAATCTGCTTTCTCTTAAGGCCACTTTTTTGATTCCCAGTATGTTGCTTTTTTTTCTCTCCGTGTTGGCCTTGGGACATCCTTTAAAGAAATGAGCCCCGTGCAGAGGTACCACAGCTACCAAAAGCTGCTTGGCATTAGGATGGTATATGATGTAGCTCCACGACTGGGCTTTCAGAGCTGTGCTGGTCTGAGTGTGATGTTCTTGAATTAGGGTCTTTAGCGTGGTGATCCAGACACTTAAGAAATTCTCACATCTTCAGAATCTAACGGTTGGAAAGAAAGGGGAAAGGCAAGTATTTCAAGATCAATTAAGTCTGCAGGTATGGCTCATAGTAAGGACATTTTAAGAGAGCTTTACTTTTATCTTCAAGTTGTTTAGTCTTCTGCCCATAGGCTGATTATCCATATGTGAAATAATCTGGAAATATGATGAATCCCACTGAGACTTGAAAATATGAGGTTTAATTTTGCTTGTGAGAATGATGAGCCATGAATAGTTCTTCAGCTTTTTAAATCCCAATCCTATGATTTTTAAGAAATGGTGACAGCAACTACTGTGTTTGTAGTATTAATAGTGTGTAGAAAGAGAATGGACAAATAATCACTTAGAAATGCTTCTTAGTGTTAATAAAATGGTTGGATTTCTGTTATTTCTATTGATTTTATTAATCTTAATGATTATTCTATGGAGCAAATTAAATTGCAGTGTCTTTCCTCAGTTATCATCTATTGATTGAAATTCAGTGTAACTGGTAGTCTAGAGTCCCTTAGGTTCTCTTAAAAACAGGCATACTTTTATGTTAAATGGTTCCTGTTTTAGGTATTAGAAACTTGCCTCAGTAGTCAAGGGGAGGATTAGAGCTCCTGATTTTGGAAGAGAAAACACAAAAAGAGCACAGTTATGGTGATTGCCCTGCAGACCTCCTCAGACTTCAGATAATTTGAGCACTTTGTTCTCAGGAAATGCAGCAAACTGTTTATTTGCAGGACTGTTTTGCCAAACAGTCTTAGTCTGGTATGCATCTCAAACTGTGGAATCAATATTTGTGTCTGAAATAGGCTGCGTAACCCATTTACCTTATTCTGAAGCCCCAAGTGGTTTTATACCCAGTGCTGTTCACTGTTTTATGGTGATCTTCAATGTTAGTGATTTATAAAAAGCTTAGATGCATAAAAATTTCAATTTTGTAATGAAAAACAGAAATTTATTATTGCCGCTTGCATGAAATGTAATTGGAATTAATAATGATTACTTTTCAGTCCTTCACTACCAATAGCATAATGATGGATTATTAGAATAGACTGCAGAGAAATAAAAACCTTAAGTAGTGGTAAAAGGGAAATGTTTAAGAGTTGGAGAAGATACTGTGTAATTTGCAGGAGCGTTTTTAAGGTGATATAGTTTACATTTGCTATACAATCTATTTTCCTTGGACAGATCATGCTCCTTATATAAAAATAATTATCTGTTAGTAGGCCCCAAAACATTATTTTTCTTCTTTCCCCCCAGCTCTTTGCACCACTCTTTTCTGTATTAAAGCCGATGGCCGGGACAAGACAGGTAGCTTGCTTTAGTGGCCAGATGTCGTCATGGAGACTTCTTCTACATACGTGGGGTTTTTCGCATAACACTTGAAAGTGAGGGCCTTAATTCTGCCCTGTTGTTGCAGTATCTAAGTTGGGATAATGCCTCGAAAGCCTTTCACTTTTTGCTGTCTGGCCAAATGAGAGGACAGATGAAGGAACTGATCATTGCTATGAAGTACTTTAAAAAAATCTTTCCTTTTTCCAGTGCTTCTCTCTTAAGCCTGTTTCATTTTTTGACTGTCCCTTGGGGTTTCTTACTAAAGGTTTCCAGATGTGGTACTACCTCCACTTCCCTGTATTTTCTATATTCAGAGCGGATACTGAGTTGATTGTGAGTTACAAGATGCATACAATAAGTATGTTGTTCTTCAGGAACCCAGTGTATTGAATAGTTCCAGTAGAGACTGGGGAATTGGAGAAAGAGATACCTGCGAGACTCCTTGGAAGCTTTCGGTGTCCTCTCCAACCCGCTACTCAGGGACACTCGATCATCCACGTTCTGGAAGATTTTTGGGAAGCAGGAGCAGATTGGTGAGAACTGTTAATGTGTAATACCTGAAAAAAATATTTAAACCCAGGGTTTTACTTTAGCCTTCTCAATCTGACAAGCAGCTAGCAGAGGCTCATTGTAATGTTTCTGGGTAAGTACAATATTACTAAGCCAAGATGGAGCAAAAGCTAGAAGATAGCAGTGTTAAGAAATTATTCAGAGGATAAAAATAGTAATGCATATTAGTTTTAGTAAGAGTTAATAAATAAATTTGAAGCAAGTGGCTCTGCAAATGTCCATTAAAAAGAAAAAAGGAGGGGGTGATTAGAACCTGATATGTTACAGTCCTGTGGATGGCAACATTAGTATTATTTATACTCAGCTTGTTCCATCAGGTATTTCTAGGGGATGTGGGTTTTGGATGGTACCAGTTCTGTGAGTGAAGCAGGTGAAGACCTGCTTTAGGAAACTTAATTGTGGAGGTGTAGTTTATAATCTGCTTGTGCTTACTGATGTGCTGCTTACATTATACTGTGAAAGAAAATGGAGGCTTAGTTGTTTGCATGAGATTCAAGGCTCAGGCCTTAACAGCTTGTCATAACTGGTTTCTAGAATGTGCCTTTGTAACTCCAAAAATAGTTAGTTTGTGCCATGCTTATACATTGTAGAGTGACAGTAAAACACTTCAAATTGCTGTAGCAATATTAAGGTGGGAAAAGCAGAAAACTGTGAGCAACTTTGATGGGATGGTAGTGAACAAGTAAAAATTCTGCTCATTTTCTGGATACGTAAGAGTGCTCACATCTTTAAAGAGATATTTGTTTTCTTAGTGACTTGTAGGTAAAGACACTGAGATAATGGGGAGGGGGAGGGAGGAACCAGTGTGCATGTGCTGGCCTTCAGGGGAAGCCGTGGTCAGTGTACTTAAATGCAAATGGAATCTGTGGTTGTAAGTGGTCTACATACCTAGTTTAATTGGCGCTATAGAGTTTTCAAGATGAAAATCTTTTTTTTCCCCAGAAAGGTTAATTTTTCTCTTAAATTTAAGGAGTGAACGTTGCAGAAGGCATTCAGAAACTTCCACTTCTCAAGTAGTAAACAATTAAAAAATAAATGATACGTTAAGTAGAGGATTCATGAAGGAAAATAACCTACCCTTGTACTTGGTTTTTGTTGTTAGTTTCTGTCTCCCTGTCTGTCTTGTATGATGGGATGAGAGAAATACCTAGATACTTTTTATTTTGAAAGAGTATGGCTTAAACTTAGTAAAAACCATAATAAAATAACACCCCGCAGCTATAACATATACTCCAGTTTGGTTGATCCTTAAAGGATCTTGGTTGTGGATAAGTTTTTGGGGAAGACAAACAGCTCAATTGAGCTTTATGATTGATCTCACCTTTTTTTTTTTTTTATATATGAAAAAATAAACCCCAAACATTTCAAATAGAAAATGAATGCCTTGGCTGCAAGTAACTAGACAAACAGCTTTATAGGCTATCCCAATTTTTTTTCTAAGTACTGGGATACTAGTTTCTGAAAACTGTTTTATTTCAGTGCTGTACGCTGCAAAAATTGTTTTGTACCTGTTCTTTACTCTGAACTGCTTCAGTAGCACTTGGGCTTATTGTAATCAAAATATACCTGTTTCAAACAGTTCACTTGAAGCTCACTCCTTAACTAACTGTATTTTAGGTTGGTAAAAAAGAAGTTGGAATGGTTAAACTGTTAAATAAAATAATGTTGCTGATCGATTTTGGCTATGTCTGGACAGCAAGATTATGTTCCCTTGGAGATCTGTAAAGCTATATTTGATTGTGTTGATATTCCTGGCCTCTAAGATCCTATGATTTTTTCCCCTGTAAGTCACATCAATCTATAAAGGAAAAATGATACTGAATGTCATAGGAACTGGCTTTTGTTGGTAGGACTGTATTCAGTAAACATGGAAATACTAATCAAGAGTGCAAGCACAACTCCTGGGTTATTTTTAAAGAAAAGGTTTTTGTATCTAAGACTTACTCTATACTATTTTTGTAAGTTTTACATTATGTACACTTTTGTTCAGTGTAAGCCCATCTGAAATACTGTGTAATTTATTTTTTTAATGTTATTTCAGTCAACATCTTCTTCCTCTCATTTTACATCTGGGTGTTACGGTGAGTCTGAGAGAACTCAGGGAGCATATTCAAGACAGCAGCAAGACAGTGATTCAAAGAGACCTAAGCTATCTTATACATCTACCTCTTCTGTGAGAAGTAATGGCTTGTCTGCCTTTTCAGGTGAGAGGTTGATTACTTGAGCTGAGTTACATCACAATTGTCTGAGTAGTGAGATCAGGTTTTATCAAGTTTTAAAAGATTTGCTTTGAAATAGTATGCTTTTATTATTCTTAAATAATAAAACCTTATGCCTATCAGAAGAGTATGTTCATAATGACAGCAGTATCCCAAGTACCAAGAATGCTCTTAACGTGGTCTTTTGAAAACCCAGCTGTACTCATGTAATTTTGGAATTATTACCTCTGTACCCATTCCATTTGCAGTAAAGCTGAACCTCGTGGCTCAAGTATGTCTTAATTGGTTAATATTCAAGGAAAGAATGAGTGCAGCTGCTCTTATTTCATGAGTCTAATTGTCTTGGTACATCAGTGTGTGCCAGGGAGCGCAGAAAAGAAATCTTTACCATATTTAGCAATATGTTCCAAGCACAGTGCCATGGCTGGTTAGAGCACTGTGGGTAGGGGTCAGGGAAGAAAGTTCTTTTTTTAGCAGGGCCTAAATTCATTCTATAGGCCACACAAAAAGAAATTTTCTAAGAGCTCTTACATGAAAACCTGAGATTTTCATTAAAGCTATCTTAAAGTAAGTTGGTGAAACTTGGATAGACAGGATTTAATCAATATGCCAACAAAAGTCTAAAGCTCAGAAAGTGACGGTCAAAAACTTACACTAAAAGTATTTCTAGAACATTTTGAAACAGACCATTAGTTTCATTCAGATTACCCTTATGAGCATGGATTAATGTTATTTTTATATCTCCTTGTGGTATGGAACCTCACAGCCATCCAAATAAAAATAAGTTCTTGCTTAAAACCCAGTATTAATGATGCTTTCTTACTCTGTTAATAAGATGACAACTGTTAACATATCTCACTGTGGAGTAGGACTGCTCGTCTTTCCATTTCTAGATTGGTCGGTCATTACACTGCTGACCAATGAATGCTTAAATTAGATTTCTAAGTTAGCAATGAACAAAATCAAGGTGAATTTTTCAGAACCATTGAAGAACGCTCTTTTGGAACAAGAATTTTGTTCACAGCTGAAGTGTGTACAGTTCCCTATGTCGTCGTTGGAACTGTTTGTAGAAAATAAGATCCCTTTTGACACTGACTTGTTGTTTTACTCTGTAATAAGTACAGTATTAGTAATTGTTCTTAAAGTTGTGTCTAAACTACATTTAAGCTTCAGCTGTCTTTGTGGAAAATGAATTTTAGAAGCATTTAAGTAGCATCAAGTAAAATGGCAGCATTTACTAAGTCTCAAGCTGCTGTTTTTGCTATATTGTGAAACCTGTGTAAGAGCTAGCTACCATTAGGAAACAAGATGCTACTTCTCTTCCTCTGCTGTCCTGTATGAGTGTTAACAGGTTTGACTCTTCACAAAACTATTATTACTTTTCGTTTGGTTTAGCTTTCAGAACTAACTCACTGCAAGATTAAGTGCGTGCCAGGATCAGCAGAGTGCTGCTTATTCTGGGCTTTATATTTGCCGCTGGCCACTTAATCAGTTTAATGGTAATGTTAAACTCACTGTTGATATGGAATAACAAAAATGCACGTGCAAGTGCCAGCTTTAATGGATGATTACCAAAACAGGGGATTTATTTACTTATTCTTTCTAGATTCCTCATGGAGATGCAGTAGGATTCCTAGATCTTCATCAGTGATGCGAAGGGAGTTAGAAAGACGAACGGATCTGTCTGTTAACAATGTGGTGGATCCGACCTACAGAAACAGTGACTTTTCACCTTCAACATGTATGTATTGTGCAACTGAAAGCTTGTAAACCTACAGTTTGTATGCCTTTTAGTTTCTGAACATGTTCGTAGAATCACAGAATGATTTAGTTTGGAAGGGATCTTTAAGCTCATCTTGTTCCAACCCCCTGCCATGGTTAGGGATACCTCTCACTATACCAGTTTGCTCAGAGCCACATCCAGCCTGGCCATGAATGCTTCCAGGGATGGCACATCCACAACTTCTCTGGGCATGTTAATATTTTACTCAAAACACAAACTCAAAATATCTTTTTAATTTTAAGGTATCCTTTTAAATAAGGTTAGTTGGCTACTTGGCATGCATTGGCCAAACCACCAAAGGATGTCTGAGTGGTCTACCTTGTAGATGCATTCAGTCATATGAAAGTGGTATGGGTGCTCACCACTGTAACTGTGTGATTAGTTAGTAGGACTCTTTTCTACTTTGTGTTAAGATCACTTTGTATTTAGGTATGGGAAAAGAAATAATGTTAATTTGACCCAGGAAACTTTTTTCTTAAAGGTGCCCATGGTATATTATCTCTTTTCATTTGGGTTTTCAAATGGGTATTAGGGAAAACCACTAGACCACTGAAAATAGAAAGGAATGAACAAATACTTCACATGAGGCAAGAGGTTTGTCTAATGGCAAATACTGGGACTAGTAAGGACTTCTGTGCTGTAATTTTCACTTTCTGTTCAGCGTGTTGTGGCCTTCTGGAGTTTTTTCTGGGGAAGCTCATCATCAGTCTCGATCTGCCACCTTTTGCAGATGTATTCAGTGATATTTTTTTAATGCAGAAATTTAAAAAAATGTCATTTTTATAATTGTAGAAGATAAGCAGAAAAGCTAAAAACTGGTTCCAGATTTCAGCCTGCAGTCTTGCCTCAGCAGAGGAGTATGTTTTAATGTCATCATACTCTACACTTTATTAAAGTGGACAGTTCAGATTACCTGGTAGAGCCTAATGGGAGAAGTGGATAAGCGAACAACCTTGCTCTGTACTGTCCATGCTGCATTTCTAGCAGTAGTGCTGATATTAAGTGCTATAAAAATAACTCGTGACTGCGTTCCCTACTGTGTAATCAAAACGGTATGGTGAATGCTTGGCATCTGTGCAGATGTTTCTTTAGTTAGAATCTGCCAGATGCATAAACCTCAGCTTCAGCAATAAATGGTGATTGCAATGCAGAACCCATAGAAAAAAGTTACCAAAACTACAAACATGAAAGGTTTCAATTCCGGAATCATAGAGAGCTTCTGTTTCCTACCTTCATCTACCTATGCTTGTTCCTCTTCCCCCCTTTTCCCACCCCCAGCCCCCAAATCTAGCCATTTGAGGAGGGAAACTAGCTGATTTTAGCCACCTCAAATGATTCATGTAGTGTTAATTACAGTTCAGCTGCAGTGGAATTCTTCTCAGTGTGTTGAGGTACTTAGACAGTATTTACAGAAAATACACTTGTTAGAATTGTAGAATGTTTTGGGTTGGAAGGAGGGACCTTTAAAGTCCATCTAGTCCAATCCCCCTGCAATGAGCAGGGACATGTTTAACTAGGTCAGGTTGCTTGGAGCCTTTTTGAGCCTGACTGTGAATGTTTCCTGATGTGTTAGAACATATCTTGTCATAGTGTTTTCCTCTGCTTTTCTGCAACAGATCTTCAAGACAGGCCTGCCTCTTCCTATGCAGAGGGAGCAAGACCAAAAGAGAACTCCTTAAGCACTTTGAGGCTGAATGCGTCCGTGAACCGCCAGTTGCCTTCTGATCATCAGCCATCTTTTTTCAACAGAGACTCTAGTATGAGCTCTTCAAGATCCAGCTATTCTTCGAGACAAAGGAGAAATGAATTGGAATTTCCCCACAGGAGTGTGCAGCCAGCATTTTCGCTTACTGCCATTAGAGATGAAACCCCTTCCTCAAGTGGTTCTGAAAGGGTTTTATCTTCCCAGAGGTCACTGAATGAGCCTGCAGCTGACAGTGAAGGGAGGCGCACAACCAGGCAGCTGCTGTCCCGTTTAGCATCTAGTATGTCATCTACATTTTTCTCTCGAAGGTCGAGCCAAGACCCATTGCATACAAGATCATTAGGCTCTGAAGAGTCAACGGTGGTCCCAAGAGTTCAGGCTTCTACTCTGTCAAGTAGTAATGGAGCTGCCACTCCAGAAGTTCCAGGACTTCAGTCATCTGAAGCTTCTCAGGGGTTTAGTTTTCTTGGACGAAGATGGGGTTTATCAGCAGTTTCACAGAATCGCAACTCTGATTCAGATGGGGAAAGCTACAGACCAGACTCTGAAAGTAGGAGCACGGGATCCTGGTTGTCATCCTCTTTGAGGAACAGATGTACACCTCTCTTTTCCAGAAGAAGAAGAGAAGGAAGAGATGAATCCGCAAGGATCTCTACCTCTGATACAACTGCTAGATCACAACATGTCTTTAGAAGGAGAGAGTCAGGTGAGGAGACCTCTCTTGAAGCATCAGGTAGCCCTCCTCGGGCTTCTGTTAGCAGACCACCAACACCTGCAGTGTCTGGTATTTCTAGAGCTACTGCCTCCCCACCAGATTCAGCCCACAGCAGAAGAAGTTCTGGAATTCTGCCCGGTTCTCTCTTTCGCTTTGCAGTGCCTCCAACATTAGGAAGCAGTCTATCTGACAATCTTATGATAACTGTAGATATTATACCCTCTGGCTGGAATCAGTCTGATGGACAAGAAAGTGACAAGTCTAAAGTACCGCCTTCAAGAGATCCAGAAAGACTCCAGAAAATTAAAGAGAGGTAAATTAGTAACTTTTTTTGAGATAGTAAAATGTACCTGTCTTAAGGTGAGAGGGCTTTCTGCACTTGTGATTTTAAAAGAAAACTTTCCTTCAGAGCAGGCGGCAACTCAGTCCCCTGTCACCTGTATTCTCACTTCTGTCTTCACAGAAGCTCGTTTTAATTCTCTTAGGTTTGAGAACAGTTCGATAAAATAGAATTTTCAGTATAAAAATCTTTCATGAAATGTGTTACAGCGTTTATTGGTATTTCTTCCTATTCAGCCTGCTTTTAGAAGATTCTGAAGATGAAGAGGGTGACTTATGCAGAATCTGTCAAATGTCCTCTGCAAGTTCTGACAACCTTTTAATAGAGCCATGCAAATGCACTGGAAGTCTGCAATATGTTCACCAGGAGTGCATGAAAAAATGGCTGCAGTCCAAGATTAATTCAGGTAAAGCAGACTAGACCAAGGTAGACTTCCGGCTGTATAGGGAGGCCTGTCGGAGGGATTGCACTTACTGAGGTATGTAGTTGAAAAATGAGCAGTGGGGACAAACAACAGTGTGGCACTTCCAGACTTACTGTGTGTCTGTGCAGCTTCTCATGTGAGTAGTTCCAAGAACTGTATTTGTTGTTCAGAGAATTATTAGGGTTGTCTACTAAGGTATTAGACAAAATATAACATTGTAGAAGTATAGCTTTAGAACTACTCTGTCACTTTGGTGGTACGGCTTGGGGTGGAGTTTGCTCCCCACCCTTCCTTATGAGTATGGTTGTGCTTTTTTGCAAGACTGACATAGCCAAGCTGACTGTAGCAGAGCGATAAGAATTTGAAAATCCAGAAATGTTTTTCAATTGTAACTAGACTTAAGTACTTTATTTTTTTAAACATACTAGCTCTTGTTCAAGGCACTTTAAAACTGCTTGTTCAAAAACTGCTTCGAAGTGCGTATATAATTTTTTAAGAAACACTTCAGACTGGGTAAAAATTTTTGTAATAAATTGATTAACCAGTTTATAACTAAGTTATCTGCAGTATTCTTAAGACTTAAAAATAGGTGGCTTGGTAGAAGACACAAAAAGCATGGAATACTTTTTACCAAAGGAAGGTGCTAGCATCTGTTTGCTTTTTTACTCAATATCAGAGGACATGCATCAGAGTAGGGCTGTATTAGAAGCCTCAGCCTATAGAAGAAATTAATTTGAATTTAACTCTATGTAAAGGCATAAATCCACCATCAACTGTTCGTCTTATTGCTTATGGAGCAGCTTGTTTTAAAACTGGTACTTAAGACAAAATGTTACTGTGACAATGACTTTAAGCTGTTTTGGTATATTCATTCTTACTTTTGTGTGCATTTGGATTACACGGTAGAATTCAAAAAGCCCAAGAAGTGATTTTATGCCAGACTTGCAGTAAGAGGCTTGTCACATCCAGAATGAATGTGAGGCAAAATAGGTGCAGCTGTATAGAGAACAAACATTCCGCAGCATTTAAAATCTGACAGTAGCAGATGTCACTACATTCATATTAGAGGCTTTCTTTTCTTCTAACCTTGCTCTGCAAAATAAAGCCAAAAATTATACTTAGAGTTTGCAATGTTTATACGATTGTGTCATGGATTGTTGAAACTTGACACTGAGTTTCCCTCCTCACCAGGTTCTTCTTTGGAAGCAGTGACAACTTGTGAATTGTGCAAAGAGAAGTTGCATCTGAATCTGGAAGACTTTGACATTCATGAACTCTATAGGGCACATGCAAATGAACAAGTTAGTATATTTTACTTAATTTGGTAAGTGTTGGTTTAGTGCTGAGAGGGCAGCCTTCTTTAGAGAAGGCAAATGCATCTCTATTTCAGAAGGACTGTTATGCATAGAAAGTAATGTCAACATGGAACAGATTTTTCTCCTCAATATTCAGACCAATTCTATCTTCCTGCTGTGCTTCCTATAGCTGAGCTTTCAGTAAGTGTAATGTATCTTTTTTCTTAGTTGCAGATCTGCCATCTAGCTTTGCAGCCCCTTGTCTCTGTCACATAGGTGCAGTGTGAATTCTATTACGATTAGATTGAATTTCACATTGTCATGAGCTGTCTTTGCTTTTAGCTGCTTTTAGCTAAACACACTTAGCAGTTGTTTTAAATGTACCATTACAAACTTTTTTTGTTTCACTAAAGTGATAGAAACTAACCTATTTTCTAACAGCTTCTGACTGCTCCTTCAAGTTGTTTCCTAAATTAAAAATAATCAAAGGCCCATTAGTGTTACTCTTGTTATATAAAATACATTATCTTAGAACTACTGGATTGTGTAGTATTAAAAGTGAGTAAATAATACAAAGCTGGTGTTTTTAATTAACTTTATTCAGAGGGTTTTCCTTGTTCTCTGGGTTGTATTCTGAGAATATATAAAGACTAATGGTATAAGCGTACCTCAGAAGTTGAAAGAAAATACCAGGTGACATCAGTTTTGGGGCAAAACATCAACCTCTAATTTTTATTATTATTTAGAGTAAGTTCTTACCCTAGAACTCTATCACTTGGGACAGACCGAAATTTTCTTGGCTTTCTTGAGGGTGCCATCATCTTATGGTTTAATACTACTGAATATTGGTTACTGTCACTATACTTTAATAGAAATAAGAGCTTTGAAATTTTTTCCTAAAGAGTTGACTAAATTATCTGTTCAGTGCTAGCATTTTTAAAGATTTTCTTTATCTTGGGGAAAGGAATTTCTCAAAATATTTATAACATCATAGCATTCTTAAAATATACATATTCCTTTATTTTGGCTTTCTGTAAAGCATTGGGATCACAGAGAAGAAGCCAGAAATGTTCATTAGTTTTATTTTTCTGAGTGATATAATACTCTGATTCTTTCCTCTAAACTAATCATGCTGGCTGAGATTTAATTTGTAGAACTCTATTTATCTTCAAGGGTAACATGTTAAATCCAGGGTGGGTGGGAAGAACCAGAAGTATAAACAGCTTTTCAGTAATTAAAATTTTTTTGTATTTAATTTCCCTAATTCTCTTGGAACAAGTAGAGAGAAATATATAATGATTCCAGTAAAATCTCATTCTTATTCTACTTTTCGAATCATATATGCAGACGTATTACTGACATTCTGAATGTTTCTTTGATCTCCTTTAAGGCAGACTATGAATTTATCAGCTCTGGTCTCTACCTTGTAGTGTTGTTACACTTATGCGAGCAGCGCTTTTCTGATATGTTAGGAACTGCCAACGAGGCCAGCACACGTGTCAGAGTAAGTATGCACTGATTTTCTGGCAGGGATTGTTACCTTGAGTGACATAGGAGCTAGATACCCAAGAAATATGCTTTTTAAAAAACTTTTAGGTCTAAAATGGGCTGGGCTTGTCAGTGCACTAACACCGTGTTTACTTTGAAACTCGAGGTACTGCATTATTGCAGTTACTGTGTTGCAGAACGCTTTTTGTCAGGGTTGTTGGCCATTCGTTGGTTTGCATGTACCTTGTCGTGATCGTTGTGAACTTACACAAAACTGGAAGGTTAACCTCTCCCTGTACAAAATACGCAGTTGAGAATGTTGGACTACCTGATTTAATTTTTCTCATTACGCCAGTCTACATTGCAGAGGTCTAGAACTTGCAGTGGTTGTCTTATGGACTACGCCTAAATCTGTACTTGACTATGAACGTTGTGAAACAAACCATAGCTGTAGTAGGACTTTTTTGGCATTAGTCCAGGCTCCTATTAGTTGTGTTTGACTGTACTCTTGTCACTTAAATGGCTTGGCATAGAAACCTGGTAAGTGCACATTTTACAAGTAAGAGATCAGCATACAGAGTTCTTTCTGCATAGTGACTCACTCAGAAATCCAGTATTCTACATGTTTATTTGATACTTGATAATGAATCAGCGCTCTTAGTCAACTGAGCTCCTTGAAAAGCTGATAATTTTGGGTTTTTTTACTTGGATACAGAGAAGTGACAATATTAAGCTTATCCAATGGGTATTGGAATGGTTGACTGCCAGCAGGCATTAGGCCTTTGGGGAAGAGGCGGGACTGTACTCTAATCTTTTAAGGTCTTAGAACAGTGGTCCTCTTTTCTATGCACTTCTAACGTAGAACTTATATTCCACCGTCCACAAATGAAATGTGCAGTTTCCCTGGTGCGAGTGTAGAGATATAAAAGACACATAATCTAATAGTAGCCAGCATCCAGTATAGTACAGCTTGAGTGTATTACAGAAGTTGTTTTTACTGGATTTTCGTCAGAGGAGACATTACATACTTCAGTGTGTGACACTGCATTTTAACCCAGTGAGAGCACTGATGCTGCCGTTTGATACTGAGCATACAAGTAAGCAATGGAGACTCATTTTATCTGCTGTGTCTCAACATCTGGACTTTGAAACAGTGATGTAGATTGCCAGTGATTAAATTAAACCACTTGGCTGAGACATGTTATTCCTAGGGATTTGGGGGTTGGGTTTTGATACCATATGCTTCCAACATTAAACTACCATCATTGCCTAATAGTAATCCTGGTCTTAAGATTCTAAGTGTAAACAAAAACTTTAACCGTATTCATGCATTTTTCATTAATCTCATTCAGTCAAAGGACTCTGTTTTGTCATAATAATACTGAATTAAATAAAATGGATCCAACTAATGCAAGTCCTTACCATGATTATGTTTTTCCGCATTACAGTTTTTAGGAATGGTATTCATTAAACTGGCACTTGTTTATATTTGCTGCTTTCAAAACTGATGTGTTTTACAGACTGTAGAACATGAAGATGATGCCACTAGCTGCTACCAGAAACATTTGACATAGAGTGGAAGCTGAAATTACTGTGCAGTAGCAATTTGAAGTCTAATGTGTGGGGATTTATATTAAATTTTGCATTGATTTTTGTAAGTTGGGCAAATGGGTTAGGGTAACCAATATATGGCATGAAGCTTTGGGATGTAAAAAGTGAAGAAAACTTTGCTAACTTGTTGCAAACTTCTGCAGATACCTTTGCAACTTTTAAACTACTTTCTCTCTGCCTTGTTTCTAGTTTATTAACCTTGCAAGAACTCTTCAGGCACATATGGAAGATATTGAAAGTAGGTGCTTCCCCTCTTCCCCTCTCCTCCCATTAGATCAACTCAAAGCTAAATGAGTACAATCCTGCTTGCCAAGATTCATGATATGAACATAATTACTGAAAACTTTACTTGACCCAGCAGTGCTTTTTCCATCATCAGTAGAACTATTCCGAGGGGGAACCGATTTTAATTCTCCATGATTAATTTCCCAACATTGTTTAGACTACAGAAGTGTTATCTGCTAGTGATTACAAAATTCCTTACTAGTTACAGTTGGTTATTGTAATTCTAGTAGTACCTAATTGTGGGATTAGTGGTGGACCTTTAGGTTGTTGCCTTTTACAGGAGTCTTAGTAGGAAAGAAATATTTAGAGTCGAATTTCACTGCATTTAAGTTACATACTTCTTTTGCCGTTTTTTCCTCTTCCCCTTCTTTTTTTTGCCTTCTCCCTTTTCTTTTTTCCATTCACATGCACTTTTTGGTTGTTTGGATTCCTTGATCAGACCTACCACACCTCATGAACGAGATTTAAAGGTTGCCAGTTTTTCATAAAATTCTGTGCTCTATACAGACCCACGAAATGATTCTTCCTAATGCTGTCAGGCTCTGTGTTAGAGAAAAGGTGACAACATTTGAAAAAAAAAATCAAAAATTCAAAGCTTTATACTGACTTCTGGTAAACATGTCCTGGATCTATTTCTAGGCATGATGAATAGGCAGTAGAAGGGTAGTTGATCTACCTTTTTTTTTCCCTAGCATGCGCGTGAATGTCTGTTGACATTCAAAGTTTGTATATGAATTTTCACTGCATAGGATGCATTTGAAGTACTGTAAGGAATGGGGAATGTGTGTGTGTGTGCGTGTGTGAGTTTTAGTTCAAGATGATTATTGCATCAGAGCAAGGTGGGCTAGAGTTCTGAATTAATTCTTAAGTTATGTGCATCCTTATTAGAGTAAAGATTAACTTTAATGAGTGTCATTTTACACCTTAATTTAGTCTATATTTGATTCAGCCTTTAACTTGCAGGTGAGGAATGCTGAGTTTTAGTTTTATCACTGATGCACTTCAGTTACATTTGTCTGCTAAGAACTGAAGAAGCAAGGAGTCAGGCTTTTCTTCTTTCGGTATTCAGGGGTGGAACAAATTACTTCAGTGTAAATACTTTCTTGCCTGCAGACTTTGCTTAAGAGGACCTACTAAATTCCTGTTACAGACAAGCTAATGCTTTGCAAACCTGATGTAGATGTGTGTACTGACTTTTCTTTCGTAGTCGACAAGTATGTATTTGTCTCTTTAATTCACTTTGCAACAACAAAATCCTATGCACATGTGGGCTTCATGTTCATCCTGCGTATGGTGAAAGAACAGGGCTGGAGAGAAAAGCTGCTTCCGAGTAGGCCCAAGTTGCATTAAGCAACATATATATGTGTATATATTTAAAAATTTCAGAGTCTTTGTTCAGATGACTGAATCTTTCAAGATATTTTAGTGTCCAAATTGTTAACTTTGTGAGTCATTTCTTTCCCTGGTGTTGGGTGCTGCTGTCATGGATTGAATATATCCTCCTCTGACTACTGTTGGAATTAGCCACTGTAAACACTGCATAAAAGTTGAATCTCTGGCTTAATTAGGTTTTCTTCCTTTTACTTTGAGGAAGAAGAGCAGGAGACACTGCCTTTTGTACTGTTGAGTTTTGATTTGAAAATGCTATATTTTTCAGACATGAGATGCATTTAAGAATTAATCTATGTGATTACACCAGGTTTGGGTGGGTATTACAATCTGTCACTTATTATTATAAAATTACCTTTATTTCCTCTGCTCATCCTGAAGTGCTTTAATTTCAAAGACCTTTGTCAGGGCTTCTGATTATACTGTGTTGTTCCAACAGCTTCTGAAGATGATTCTGAAGACTGATGCTGGTAGACCTTTCATACTGCAAGAAACAAATGGAATTGCTGCAGAAATGCTGAACTGGCAAGAACAACATCAACATGCATTTGTTTTATTCCTCTCCTTAGTAAAAAGTGCATTGAATATCCCTGTAGTTTTTGAAGCGTTGTTGAATTCAAAATAAACTGCTGCACAGTGGAACTCTCAGTGGACTTGAGAACTACTCAGCATGTGTGAGGATTAGATACATAGAAAGCAATTTCCCATTTTAAATTATGAGGATGATGTGCTTTGTTTTGGAGGACATCAGATTTTGAATATTTAAGGAAGCTTTATCTCCCTTTGTGTTTCCTTCTTACTGTAGTCAGATTTCTGGTTTTGTCTTACTGAGCTTTGCTCCTCTGCTGGCACTAAGTGGTTATAGTGGGTTTCAAGGGGAGGGTGGGGATGTCCATGTACTGAAATAGGTTTTGTTTGGGTGTTCTTAAATGCCTCTTTTGCCGCATCATATAATAACTGATTGCTTCCGTTGTTAATAAATGAACAGGAGGATAAGCAAGATATTGTAGAAATTGTTTGGGTTTTGGTTTATTTGAAGATTATTATTTAACTCAAAAAGCAATAAGAACTTGCAGTGGTCTTTTAATACTTGGTGATGGCTTTTTTATGTACCAGTTTGGAAATTGGAGATTATATTTGATATCATGTGGCTGTTCCATTATGGAATATTGCAGGTGTAAACTCTTGCATTTCAGCATTCCTAGCAGATATGCAACTTGATAAAGACCTGAGGTTGTTCAGTTTAATCAGAGTTTTTTTAGATCCCACCTTCACTGTTCAAAGCACTGGTTATCAATGTGTTTTCTAGTGTCGTCACTTCTTTATAAATAAAGACAAAAGAGGTATGCATCTCTACTGGTATTGTCCATTTTATTGAAACATGGATATCTACCAGAACTTACACTTGAAAACATAGAAAGCTGTAGTCTGTGGTATATCTTTACTAATGTTTATAAATTCTTACGCGGATATTTAAGATTGTTTCTGACCATTTTGGATTGAAATGCTTTATATGAATGATGATACAATAAATTCTCATACACGTATTGGAATTGTATTTCTTACAAATTTATGTTAGTTTTTTAATTACCACAGTAACAATGTATCTGCAACAACTGCAATATGTTGAAATGCCATGAGTGTAGTTTATTGTTACATTATGAAAAACTAATTTGTGCAGAGGAAAGGATGTGCCTTAACAGCTGAAATGAACTCGTGATTTTTAACAGTTAACTTTGCTAGTATTACATGAGATGGCCTATCATCTGTAAGATTTGAAAGAAAATGGAGTGCAAATGAAATGGCACGTTTCTGTGCCCATTCTGGTAACCTTAGGCATTGGAATATTCAGTGCCAACACTTGAAAGTATTACTCCAGCAATTAGTTGAAATGGAGCTCTGGGACATTTATCTGAAAAGTGAAGGTCCAGGCATGTGTGAAAATGTTTCTCATTTCTGAAGAAAGTGAATTGAAGTTTATAATAAAAATGTTCAATCCTTTCTTAGTTGGTAGAGCTGAATAAAATGTCATACAATGAAGCAGTCAGTATTTCATATGCACTCAATACATTTAGGGTTACAAGGATGAGTTCTGATAACCTAATAAATTGATGACTTGAAGGATATTTTTAATTTTTTTTTTTCAGTCCTTGTGACAAGCAATGTTCCATGAAGGTGAGCAATGTAAGTAGCTCCACATACAAATTTGGTTGAAGTGATATATTGCTCTGTTGTCCTGCAGCCTTGTTGAGCTTCAGTGCAAATGAAGGAATGACATGGGGCAGTATTGTGATGGAATCGGTAAAGGGTGGCGGGTCTGAATGCACCTTTTGGGAAGAATGCCAGCCCCAGCTGCCTCCTCAGAGGAGAGCTCTGCCTTGCAACCCTGATTCCCTGAGCTATATTGAGGGGGAGAGGCTGGGAGCAGCCAGGATTAGTCATCTTCCATGTGCCCGTGGCTGTGATATCTCTGTCCGTGGGAGCAGCTGTCTGTGAAGCCCTCGAGGGCCCGTGCAAGTGGATTTTTCTTAGCACAGTGCACGTGTGCTCAAACATGCTTTGTGTGCCCACACGTGCACCCTGTTTGTTCCCTGGGTTTGAGAACATAAGGAATAGCCACGACTTGTTGCTGGTTCCAGCGCTTCACAGGCAGACTGTGACCCTCAGTGGTGGGCCCAGATCTCCCTAATGAGGCCAGTGATGGCAGATCTGGGTGTGGATGGCATCGTGCTGATGGGAACAAGCTGCAGAATTGAGTGCCTCATCTCATCTTGGGGCCAGTTAAAAGCTGCAGGGATTGACAGGGCCCAGAGGTGGAGCGCAGTGCCATAGTGAATCTTTCGGGCTGTGGCTCCTGCAGATGTGCTTGGTGCTCTGATGGACATGCTCCCAGAGTCCATCCTGGGCTTCTGCAGCAGCTTCTGTGTTAAGGGTGAGCGGGAGGGAGTATATTTTTTCATGTTCCAATTCTGACGTCTGCTCCAGTATGTGTAGCAGTCTGTTGTATGCTACCCTCCCCTGCCCGGGTGTTTGCTCTGCACTGCCCCGCCTTGTTTCAAATGTCCTTCCGTCTCCGTTGTTGTGCTCCTCCCACACCTGGTCACGGGTTGGGCTCCTCTGCCTCTCAGTAGCACTGCAACTAAGAAGGCTGGGCATGTGCAGGACGGAGACTCCTGCCCATGTGCATGAGCTCCGCAGTGATGAAGAAGTAATGAATCCCCCCTCCCCAAAACAACACGTGTACGTGAGGGGCACAAAGCGAAGGGCAGAGCGGTGCATGTGCAGCAGCGCGCAGGGACTCGGGAAGCTGTACTGCCCCTCCGCTGTCAGTGCTGCCCCCAGTGCTGACCCTGTAGAGGATCGTGACCAGAGCAAGCACACAAAGGGTTAACGAAGCAGTGGACATTGCCAGAACGGAAGCGAATGTGGCAGAAGGTGGGAGGAAGTGTCTAAAATGTGCGTGGAGCCAAAGGTCGCATGACCCAGAACGAGAAGATGACTGAAGAAAAGAAAGCATGTTGAAAGCTGATAGGTGTAAAGATGGACATTAGTTGTTAATAGGTAGAAATATGCATACTGTAATTTTATAGGGCCAAGTATTGCTTGTTGATAGGTTGAAGATGCTTAGCTCACAGACCAGAAACAAAACTAATTCCTCTATAAATAGAGGCTTGGGAAAGGAAATCTGGGTGATGGGTAGGCTGGAGAAAAGGTGTGTAGGTAGCTGTGTGTGACATCTGTGTATATCCGGGAAAGCAGTTCTAGTGACATTCACGCCGCCAGGGAGCCAAAAAAGGGCACAGTTGTCTGAAGAAGGCAAAAGCTCTGCCAGCCTCTTTCAACACCTGCACTGAAGGAGATGCAAATTTTCTCCCTCTTGGGTGCAAATTGCACAAAGCTCCCAGGAAAGGAAGCTTTAGATTCCTACCCAGCTTTATGTTAAAGGTTTCCTTGCTCTCTCAGCAGGACGTTGAGTGCCACTGTGTCCCTGTGGTCACTCATCTTCTGTCAGCAGAGCATGAGGTGGATGGAGAAGATTCCTAGACATCTGCAGGCACAAGGACTCATATGCCTGTGACTTTCCTATGGCACTTGTTGGTATGGACTTTCAGGGTACCGTTGGGAATGTGCCAGTTCTTGTGCTGGAGTTTTACTATGAAATATTTTAACTCAAAGAGTAAAAATAAAGTCAGGTCTGTTGTGGAGTATGTTACACCTGTGCAAAGCTTCTTCCCTCCGTTTATTTTCTATTCTGGAGAGCTCAGTCTTGGGTTCCTGGGTGCTTCCTATTAAATGATACTGTGAAAATAATTTTGTCCTGAAAGGGAAAACGAGCTGTCTGTCAGAGTTCAGATGTCCATAATAAAAGTTTTATGCTTTTTCAGTCAATAAGTCCTAAAATATCTTACAGGAGTACTCCAAGACCTTACTGAGGTAGCAGCATCTGTGCTAAAAGCAGTCGAGGTCCAAGAAGAGACTCAGACAAAACAAGATGAATCAGCATCACTTGTGAGGGTTTTCCAGACTTTCCCAAGGAGCACCAGCAGCATTGGAACTGGTTCCAATGAGTCCTGATGTGTTTCTGGTGGGTCATGGCTTCAGTCTTGTCCTTTCCCCTGCACGTCCGGTGTGTACTGTCTGAGTTCAGCTGTAAAGAGATTTTCCAGGAAAGAGGAATCTTTCTCAGTCCACGAAGTTGCACTTTGTGAACTTCCCTTCATAGCTGATGCCCTTGGCAGGAGAAGTCATCAGCAAGGAGACTTTTTCCTCCTGGGCGGGAAGAAAGGCCAGTGCCCTTCCTCCCCAAGGCCCAGCACAGCAGGGCTTGCAGGAGCTGCTGGTGTGGCTGCTCTTTGGGTTCTCAGGTGTGCCAGTGGGCTGGTGACATCATGTTCCTCACTGTGCTCCAGGGCAGCCAAAAGCCCCAGCATACCCTGGGCCATTTTGGGAGCCTGAGGTATTGCAGCACTGGGGATGGGTTTGGTTTTTCCTTTCCTAAGAGTAAAACCATAGGGGGAATCTCTTCTCTCAATGATTTTTGTATACTTTTAATTTTTTTTTTTTTTAAAAAGTTAACACTGTGTGATTTACCAACTGACTTGCATTGGTTAAATTGAAAGTGCCAAATAGTTGTAGGGTACAGTTTATTGGTTGTATTTAAGCAGCTTGATGTTTCTTTAAAATGGGAGGCAAGGGAAGCGACAGGCAAGTTTCTCGCCTCTGCGGAGAAACTTGCACCTGCGTGTCGCCACGAGGAGAAGGGGCGGAGAGAGCGGCAGCCACCGCAGCGCCGGGTTCGGATGTGCCCTGGCATTGCAGTTCCCCGGGGAGGGTCTGCGCTGCCTCAGGGACCCCGTCTGTGCTGCCAGGAGAGGGAAATCCTTCGGGAAGCTGGGATGGAAACAGCAACTCTGTGAATTGCTCAGCTTTTCCTAGGCAAGGGCAGGTTTTAGGGAAGAAAGGCCCGTACGCGCGAACGGCGCCGCGGGTCTCGCAAGGGGGGGGGGGGGCGCGCGGCTGCAGTGCCGTTCCCGGCCGTGTCCGCCAGGCGGCGACTGTGAGGCAGGGCCCGGCGCTCGGGGCGACCTTGGAAGCGGCGCCCGTGGAGCGCTGGAGTATTTTGTCACTCCCTGGCTTCTTAGAGCTTAAATCCGGAGATTGAGACGTCCAAAACAAAATTAAAAAAAAATTAAAAGCAAAAAAACTAAAAAGGAAATAAAATGAAAAGTGAAAAAAAAGGAAAAAAAAAAAAAGAAACTCCTTCTTGGGCACCCCGTTTCCTCTCCTCCCGGCCCCCGACCCGTAAATTGCGGGGTCATCACCCCTAAAATGTGAGAAGGGGACCCCAAAATGCGGGTGGGGGAACCCCAGGGAGCCGAAAAAGCGGAGGGGGAGCCGCAGTAAGAAAGCGAAGCCGGGCGGTCGGGCGGCGGGGTGGGGGGGCAGGCAAGGTGGCGACGCCGGCGCGTGCGCAGTCGTTGGCAAGACGCCGGCGATCACGTGGTAAGTAAGGGCAGCCAGGAGCGGGACCGGCGACGCATGCGCAGTGGCTCTCGTGGCGGTGCAGCGCTCCCTGCTCGAGTTAAGGGCCGGTTCCGGCGGCAGGGCGGGACTCGCGGTCTCCCGTCTCTCCCGGGGTGTGTGTGGGGGGAATAACACGAAGATTTTTTGGGGCGAAAGCGCAGAAATTAGCGAGGAGGGACGCTAATTTGGGTAAACTCGGTCACCGGAAGTAGAGAGCGACCGGAAGTCCTCCAAGGCCCCGGCCCGGAAGTCCGCCAAGCCCACAGTAAAGATGGCGCCACGAGGACCGGAACGACCACACTAAAGATGGCGGGCCCGGCCCGGAAGTCCGCCAAGCCCACAGTAAAGATGGCGCCGCCAGGACCGGAACGACCACACTAAAGATGGCGGCCCCGGCCCGGAAGTTCGCCCCGACGCCACACTCAAGATGGCGCCGCCACGACCGGAACTTAGCCGAGGCCACACTAAAGATGGCGCCGCGGCCCCCGCTCGCCCCGCTCCGCTCCGCTCCGCTCCGCTCCCGCTCCCGCTCCCGCTCCCGCCGTGCCCTGGAGATGCTATCGGGGCTGCGCCGCCACCTCCCCCCCCCCCCGGAAGCGACCCACGGCGGCAGATCCGACGGAGATCGTCCCCGGGGTAAGCTGGGCGCGGCGGGTGGGCGCGGCCGCTCTTCTGCCTCTCCCGCGGCCATCGGGGACTGCAGGCCGGGGAAGCGACAGGCAAGTTTCCCGCCTCTGCGGAGAAACTCGCACCTGCGTGCCGCCGCAGGGCCGGGTTCGGATGTGCCCTGGCATTGCACACGCACCACACCCCCCCGCGGGGAGGGTCTGCGCTGCCTCGGGGACCCTGTCTGTGCTGCCGGGAGAGATAAATCCTTTGGGAAGCTGGGCTGGAAACAGCAACTCTGTGAACTGCTCAGCTTTTCCTAGGCAAGGGCAGGTTTTAGGGAAGAAAGGCCCGGACGCGCGAAAGGCGCCGCGGGTCTCGCCAAGGGGGGGCGGGGGGGGCGCGCGGCTGCAGTGCCGCTCCCGGCCGTGTCCGCCAGGCGGCGACTGTGAGGCAGGGCCCGGCGCTCGGGGGCGCTCTGGCAAGCGACGCTT